CTGGAGAGACCTAGACGTAGATGGGAGGATAATCTCAGGCGGGATCTATGGGAGATAGGAGTTGAAGGAGACTGGATTTTGTTGGCCCAGGACAGGGTCCGGTGGAGGGATTTGGTTAATTCGGTAATGAATCTTCGGGTTCCGTAAGCCATCTAGTTAGTACATATCTGTTCAGTGGTTGGATGCAGACAGACGTGGCAAAGCTATTACTGCAACTTAAAGACAGTCATATGTTACTCCTGTACTCACTCGGGTTTCCTCCGTTAGAATCTGCGTAATGTTTATGGCTATGTGTGTTTAGTACTTTAAAAAATTTCCCGTTATTCTTGACGGGTGATTTACTATTTTAATACACAGGCCTAGCTTTGGCTGTGAGGAGACAAGTGCTGAAGTTCCATTTCAGAGGTTACTTAAACAGTTGATTGTTAATCACTGGGTCATTAATTCCTTTAGTGCCATGGATTTCGGGATATTATCTCCATGCTCACACAAGTAGCCACAGAACTTCACAAACTATTTATCAATTACATTTTAATATTATCATCCCATCTCCCAAGTGAGCTCTTCCTTTGTTTACTGAAGACTTCCCGGGTAAGGAGGAGGGGGGAGGGAATTTGGCCTCACACAATCGCCAATGGATGGCAACAGAAATGAACAGAAAAGCACAAAATCTGTTGCTTATTATAGGAACGCAGTGTTCGTCATTTTAATACTACAGAAGTGTCAGAAAATGGCACTCACCTGAAGACGGAAGTAGAGCCAGCTCTCGAAAGTCCGTGGTTATCAAATAACAAATAGACAATAGTCAATGTCTAACGCATTTATCAGAGACCTTCAAGTTTAAGGCATGTTCATTAGTCACCCTGTTTAAGAATGAACTCACCACACGTAAGTTACATACCAACAACCATAAGTGCGACATGGTTTATAAAACAAAAGTAGTATCAGAGCCTCAAGGTCCTCAGTAGCTTTCAGGTGATTTGCGAGAATTGCAGATGTTTGTAAGCGGTTGTAGCGAGAGTCTGAGTTAAATTACAAGAACTTGTTGGCTTGGCGAGAATTTCCTCAGAGGTAACACCTGACACGAGTTTCACGGTGAATAATAATAATAATATCATTGAAATACAGCGAATGTGGAAGATGAAAGCAGAAGGAATTCCAATAATTATAGGAGCAGCTGGAACCGTCTCCAGGTCACTCAGAAAATATCTGGCCAACATCCCGGGCGAACACGACATCAGGGAACTTCAGAAAACAGTCGTTCTAGGAATATCATACATCATTTGAAAGACGCTGATGTAAAATATATAATAATGCCTCACGCGAAATCTGTTTAATGCATGTAACACGTATTAAAAACAAAATGTATTTCGGAAATATCTGCTGCACCATGTACCTTAGGGGCAAGGTTTGTCTCAGGCGCAGAGAAGTAGATGCCCTGTGAAACGGCGTATAGATAGAATAATAATAATAATATAGAAAAGGAACGTTTCTGCAGATTATTCTCCACCAGGTGATAGAAATGTAGCGAAGGATATCAAAAAGAATGCGGACACCTGCCGATTGAAAAACATCGCACGTGGAATGCGAAGCTGAAGGCGACACCAAATCTGGAAGCTTATAACAATCATTTTAAGAGCATTTAGTGACACCCTATATAACACTCCAGTGCGGAACGAAGCCTTAAGAAAATATTAATGTAATACTGCACCAATTTCAAAAACATTTTCAATGAGCGTCTGTGTTCTGAGCCTCAGGAACAAAGTTTGACCCTGATGATGCGAAAAAAATTATCTTGAGAAGCTGATAGTCGCTAAGCTAGTCAAATTCCTGCCTTTTTACGAAATTAAAAGTTCCATTACCGTGTTCACAAGAGACGTCCTATGCCACACGAATCCACTCCACACTCTCTCACCCTGTCTTCTATACTAACATCTCATCTATCCTTGCCTCTTAAACTACAGACTTAAAAATCTTTTTGGCAAGCCCATGGAGTATAATGAAATGTTGATGGCTTCAAAATGTAAATACAAGGTCGCCCCTGCGCTGTTCCTTCTTTTAAGACGCGGTAATTGAACTGAGGGTCACTCACCCATATGGGACAGGTCGATGATGGGAATCTCTGCCCTGGAAAGCAGGGTCTCAACCACACTCGCGTGCTGATCCATTGCGACGACTTCGCCTTCACTGACAACCACACGCCTCACACTTCCCTCGATAACTGATCCCTTCCAAGATTGCTCTCACCACAGGTTGGCCTTGCTGCCTGTCGTACAGCGCTGCCAACTGAACAGACCCAGTCACTTCATTTCTTTGTTCCTGCAACCTGCTTGACACTGTTTCGCAGAAGGTCCAGTTATTTCCGACACCTTCAATGATTCTGTTTTTACTTTCCTCGGAAAAAGTGACCACGTTGTGGATTGAACGACCGAGGTTCGATTCCTGACAGGGTTGACATGTTTCTTCGCCGTTGTGTCTCTGTGATCCACCCAGTTAAGAATACGTGGAACTTCGGTCTGTCCCCGCCTCAGGGTAAACCATATCTGCGTGATGTTCAGTCAGAAACAGGGGGCAACGTTACTTTTAACAACATGTTTATCTGCAAGCAAGTACCTCATGAAACGGGTGTCGTCGCTGAGCTTAATTAAGCATCAAGCTGGGGGAACGTATGTGGAAATGGAGGTTTAACTCCATGCATTCCCAGCCTCAGTAAGAGATGAAATAATCAGCTTCGTGCTCCGGGCAGCTTTATTTCCGGTAAAAGAAGTCCCAGTACCCCATTGTATAGGAGGCTGGGCGGACCTTTGTGACAATCCGGACGTTCCAGCGAGAAGAATTATTCTCTGTGTCGGGAATCGAACCCCAGTCGTTCAGTCCGTAGACAGTAATTATCAGCTGGGATTATCTCGCGGTCTCTGTTAGCTTCTCAGACGTCACTTATGCAACACAATTTTGACACACAGATTAGACCTCCCTGGACATGACACCTGTCCCTTCAGTTCCAAGTATAGATAAACTGTTTTGATAAAATTTTTATCTCAGTCAGAGAAATTTGTCGTGCAGTCGTTTCTGTTTTGTATTTTCCGGGTAATCGAATCTTGAGAGGAATTTTTATCTGGTTTTAATAAAGTCAGTCGTTGTTTTATTCAGTTTCTCCAGGTAAAAACTGCGTTGAAAGGTAAAAGTACATTTGCCCACATCATGAGGTTATAGTTCCTCTCGTTCTTAAACTCGGCGTTTAGAATCGTGTGAGCGATTAGCTTCATGGACCGGCGGCTTAACCACTGAATTAATAAATTGCGTAGGTTGCTAGAAGGACCCCCGGGTAACAGATCTGGACTTTGTGGTGAAAAGAAAGCGCTTTCCCTGTTGGGAACCGGACTCCGGTCGTCCAGCCTGCTGTCTAGTCACTGAATGAGCTGGTAGGAAAATCCGTAGTGTTTTATCGCTTTCATTTTACTACTACGTGCCTTCGCAGTCGATTCGTTGAGCCTCGAAAATGAATTTTTTTTTTACATTTCGACGTTTTCTTAACACTAATTATGCTAAGTTAATATACATGTAATGAGGAGTTCATGTTTCTTTTCCGTCTGAAGGTTTCGTCTTCTAAACTAGATCCAATATATGCTACCTTAATGTCTATTCGTTGTATCCTCTATCGTAAATGTATAGAAAACGAATGTATGCATTCGTTACTTACTACGAATTTATTTTTCACGAGACCGAAGATCTACGATAGCAGCTTTGTTGATACGTTCAGAGTTTCCGCCATCCGTTCTGCAAAGAAGGTGTTTCGACCGGAGTGGTCTACGTTGTTTGTGTGCTGATCATCATACATTGACACCGGAAGGCCATTTTCAGTCCGCAAGGACATGGAAGACTAATTACGTAAGAAGTTATTTGTCGACAGGAGGGCACACTGGATAAAGTTATGGGCCCAAAGCTTGATGTTCAAATGAGAGTCACCAGGTTTTTCCCCCGGCTGAAAATGAGTACTTTTTGATTATATATTATATTTATTTAGTGTTCTGTCTGACGACAGGTCCATATGAACAGGATCCTTCCATCCTTTTCTCGGACTGGGACCTGTTCATATACGTTCTTGGCAGATGATCCAGAAGTGGTTTGCCATTGCCTTCTTCTGTGTGTGAATGGAGTAATTGTTGGGATGCCACGGAGGAAAACTATGTGTTGCCTAGACCACGGCCTTGCCCAACACAAGTTATAAATTCGGGCACCGCCGGGAATCGAACCCGAGACCAGCAGGATTACAAGGCCAGCGTTCTAACCGCTAGACCATTTAATTATGTTTGCAAAAGGTCGTATCTGGAGACCCTGCTGTACAAACCTCTCCAGTTACCAGCATCATCAATTAAGCCCTGAAGACGGAGACAATATTTCGCTCCGAAACATTGTTATCTACCTATACCGTCGTAACCTAGAATGACGTCCACCTTCACGCAGTGATAACGTCAAAACTCTTATGTTCGTCTGTGCCTTATTATGAATTGAAAATAGCCCCCCCCCCTCCAAATAATTTTGGAATATGGTCTTGGTTATGTCTTGAAACTTAACGTCACTTCAGGAATAATGTAGTTGATACAGTGTCATCGTACAAGCGTATTAAAAGGCGTAGGAGCGTAGTTTTACAATGTTTCGCTTGTCTTACACCCCAACTCTGCGTCGTGTTCCAAGAAAGGTTAATTTTGCATTCATTTCCCTTTTACTGAATTTGTTTAAATGTTATCATGTGTTCTGAGTTCGCCGCCGCCTCGTATTCACGATGTTTCCTCGTGACTGTGACGTCTGTAATCCTCAGGTTTCCTTCTCAGGACCGATGACGAATCCTTTTGAACACGGTGATGAAACCCAGGTTCTGTAAAAGGCGTGGAGGGCTTTCTTGACTGGCTGAGTGAATGTCAAATTCTCACTAAAACATCTGCTCCTTGTAGATAATACCTCAAAGAGCTTCATCCTCAGATAGCTTCAGCTAATTAACAAGAAACTACGATAAGGACTTTGTTCCTTTTTTTTCTGGATTCTGGCGTCATGTTGACTCGCAAGTAGAGCCCAGTGTTTCGGAGAAACATTCCGTCTCCATCTTCAGGGCTGAAGTGGCGATAATGAGAATTTTAGACGATGGTATGTTTCACCGAAACTCTGGTGTCTATCTACCAGACATGACTCAAAAATCAAGAACATCATCATCATTATTCTCAGCGTCATTGAAACTTCGAAACTGAAAAACTATAAGAATGGATGCCTTCTGAGATGTTGCGCGGTGAAGTCTGGTAGAAATTGATTGCCTTGACCTTGAAGGCTGTAGGCATAATCTGAAACGTCGGTCAGTTTCTACGCGACTACACGGTTCAACATTACAGAGAAGAGTCATCGACTTTCGCCACTGAGATAACCTAAAATTGATAAGAGACCAATAATAATATTTATGGAACTCATGGACACCCCACATTCAAACGAACGAATCGATGTTTGTTAAGCTCTAATGAAACACAAAATCACCAAGGCAACGAGACTAACAGAAAATAATTACGTCACTCTGGGCTCTTGTGATACTTCACGTTATGGGGGGGGGGGGGGGGTTTATGACCTTGGTAAGAGCAGACTTCTTGTAATTGTCGTACGTTGATAAGGCAGTCTTAATGTGCGGGCCATGTTCCGGTGAATCTCAATGAGCATTACAGCAGTTCAGATTTAGGGATAATGACCTTGTCAGTTAACAGTCATAAAACGAATAAATTGGTTTTAAACTGAATCAATAACGAGGGGTAAAGGACGAACGAGAAGCTCCTCTAAGTAAGACGTATGATACAAGTTGACCTTGTGACGCGTCTTGATAAAAAGGAAAGAATCTCGTGTTTTCATCAGTCGGCATGGACCAGACTCAACATTCCGAAACTCTGTTTTTATCAACTCTCGTATAACTCGAATTTTGGTAGGTTTTTGACAACCGTATCTGTTGTCTACACATGAAACTTGATTTTATTAATTTGTATTTCGATAATTAACACTTGGTGTAAAGAATCGAATATTTTTCGTATTGTAATAAGCACCCATATTAAACAAAAAGTTACCTAAAACATGTTAGGTCCTATATGATTTCATTATAAGAAGGTTTTACTACAGATAGTTTTCTTTAAAGTTGTTGTCATAGTGCTTTTATCAGACAGCAACACACAACCTGAATATATAGGCTTCTGTCAGCTCGAAATAATATTACGTTACCAAAACAAAACACTGCCTATATTAAGCTCACTTATTTATTACACCTCTTAATTTGTGGAGATGATCTTATAATTTGATAAAATAACACGGCATCTTGTGGTGGTAACAATAGAAGCATATCTCTGAGGCCCACAAGAAAATAATGACGAGGACAGCATCATAATGTGGTCCAGATGCTGCAGATATCAAGTCTTTTTTAAAATTCATTGCGATCCGTAGAAAAGGCAAGATATTTATCTGTACTAAAATTGTGCAAACATTTTTCCACCTCTCCTTTATTACTAATTTATCTGTACTAAAATTGTGCAAACACTTTTCCATCTCTCCTTTATTACTGTGAAATCTGGATGTTGAGACACGTTTACTGTAACATACTGAGGACTATGTCATCTCTTTCTCATTTATTATGAAGTATTGAAATATGGAGACTGGAGTAATGTGTCAAAAATAAGCTACGTACACGCTCCGGGAGGTCTTAAAACCTCTTGATCCTCGGAGCGAACACCTCCGTTATCTGCCTGCCGTAACTCGCTGAAAACAAAACACTGGCTCCTCTCCTCCAAGCGCGCGCCTCGCTGGCTGTAACTGGATTGAAGCAGCCAAAAGCTGCTCGTGGGAAGGCCTCACCTAATGACGAAAGCTTCATGAACCACCTGAAGGCACACCGAAGAAAGTAAGAAGTAAAAATGGATGGGAAATCGCGAAAAAGTAACACAAAAATTAATGCGATTTTGCACTGTCTTGTTAGGTTCCATTTTGTGTAAATACCTACTTAAAATGGCGGATTGCTTTAAGAAGTTTATCATCTTATACAGCGACACGTTGTTATGGAGGTTTTTGTGTTACGAGTGTGTAATTGTGCATTCTGTATGAATGGTTAGCGACAGCGTTTACCAATTGATCTTCGTAACAGTGGAGTATGGTGTTCTCTGTGAGGTACGGATTAAATTCTTTAGTGTTACTTCGATGAGGTTTTTATTTAATCATTTCATTGGATGAGGAC